GGGGAACGTGATTGGGCAAGGGTTCGGGGGAAAGGGAGTGGCTTTAGCGCTCTGCTAGCCAGTGGGGGGTACAGGAGGACCAAAGTCCAATAACAAACCAGGGATTGGGGAGAGACAGATGAGACGACCAATAATGCTTGTGCAGAGGCGGGGACTGGTTCGGGGAGAGAACATGGCGCTGTACAGGGAAACCGTGAAGGTAAAGGGAATTACAGAATTCGGGGTAGAACCGTACAATAAAAACGCAAATAAGTCTTTCCACTCTGCTTGATCCTAGAGAGCTGCCGCCATGAGGGACCTGTTCCTATAGGCATTCTTTCCATGACTCATAATCTCTGTATTCTCCCACACAGAGCCTTTGAAGTTTTGCAGAAAGTCAGATTATCCATAAAAGTTAGGTTAGAATAGCTCCAAAAGTGCTTCTGTTCCAACAGAAGATTAGTTTTATGAAATGCAACTTGAATCCAGCAGTCAGTGGAGTATCTTTGTTTAGTTACTTTTTCCTCTGGAGGCATACATTTCAGTTTATGGCCACAGCTCACCCTAATGATTGGTGGAAACTCAGAAATTTTTTCTGGGCATATCCTAGGTATCTCTCCCAAAGAGAGCCTTTGATCCATTAGGCAGAGTTCTGTTTTACAACCACTAAGAGACAGTTTTCAATGATTTTTTTACATTTCACAGAATCATAGAATGGTTTGGGTTGGAAGTAACATTAAAAATCATTTAGTTCCAGCCCCCCTACCATGGTCAGGGACACTTTCTACTAGACCACATTGTTCAGAGCCCCATCCAACCTGCTCTTGAATACTTCCAGGGATAGGGCAGCCACAACTTCTCTGGGCAACCTGTTCCAGTGCCTCACCACCCTCACAGTAAAGAATTTCTCCCTAATATCTAATCTAAACCTACTTTATTTAAATTTGAAACCATTCCCCCTTGTCCTGTCATTACATATGCTTGTAAATAGTCTCTCTCCACCTTTATTGTAGGCTCCCTTCAGATACTGGAAGCCATCTCTTCTCCAGGCTGAACAATCTCAATTCTATTAATGTTTCCTCGTATGAGAGGTGCTCCAGCACTCTAATAATCTTGGTGACCCTCCTCTGGACTCCAACAGGTCGATGTCCTTCCTGTGCTGGGGATCCCAGAGCTGGATGCAGCACTCCAGGTGGGGTCTCACCAGACCAGAGCAGAAGGGCGGAATCACCTCCCTCAACCTGCTCGCCACGCTGCTTTTGATGAGGCCCAGGATACAATTGGCTTTCTGGGCTGCAAGTGCACATTGCTGAATCATGTCCAGCCTCTTATCCAGCAACACCCCTAAGTCCTTCTCAGCAGGGCTCTTCTCAATTTCAGCTCTTTTTCTTTGATTTACTAACATGTCCAAAGAGGGTGCAATTTCTTACAATGTTGTTGTCATATGGTTTATTTTCACTTCCACAGCTTTACCATGAACATGTACCTGTTTGTGTACGACTTAATGCAATTCTGTGGACATTCATGGATATTTACAAATATGATCATCAGGTTCATGACATTTGGAAAAGGTAGGATTCCTTCTCTATTTTCCTTAAGCATTTTAAGACACATTGACAGACACAGAGAAATATCAAATGAGAGATTAAGTTAAGATTCTGAGTATGTGACTATAATTCAATTAGGAAAATACTCCATTAAAAAGACTGAACAAATTCCTGGTACCTATGTTCTGTCCCTGTTACATAAGGAATGAAGCTCATTTTGCTAATGGGCTTTAATATTCAGCAGCATGCTAGTAACATTTGACTTAGACGTAGACCTAAAAGTGACTAGGTTCAGTTATTATGGCAAACATTAATCTTACTGAAGCCACCAGGAGAGAAGATGTTAGTGGTTATTGCACATGACTATCTCCAAAGACATTACAATGTATTTCTCTCTCTATTGCCTGGAGTTAAGACACAAAAATAGAAAACTAGTGAAGATTTATAATGGTGGACAGTTGTAGGCATATAAAATGCCTCCTTTCTGATCTACTTGTTTTAGGCAGTGCCATGCGTACGGATACAAGCAGGAACTCAACATCTCCTCATGTTTAGACATTCCTCATGCATTTGCTCAACATTTCCTCCCATTTAGAAATATCCTAAAGTGGTATCTCTAAACCAACACATCCAGCACAGTGTTTGCCCATGAATTAAATATAGGGAATTTAATTACTATCTCAGCTCCCTGCCTCTGTATCAGAGCCACACACAGAACAGACTGCCTCTTCCACTCCCTGAAGCTTGGCTTCTGCTACCCAGAAGTTTGGTACTGTGTGAACTTTACTTCTCTACATCTCCAGTGGTGATAGGACAAGAGCTAACCCAGCAATTGCTCCAGACCTTTACTGTATAACTATCCTCTACTTTTCCTCTTCACTTTGTCTGTAGATTCGTTGGCTGACACATTTTACTCCATAGGACTTGTAATGCGTGTTTGCCAATTGTTATCTATACTGGAGATCCTGCACATCCTCACTGGCATTGACAAAAGCCGTCTCCTCCCCAGGTTTTTGCAGGTAAGACCATTTCTCAAAGTTCTCTTCATGACCTGCACATGTCAGCCATGGCCGCCCCTGGGGACAAGCCCAGGCTGAACTACACTGAATGTTCCACCTGCACCCTTCCTCAGGGAGCCTAGTCTGCTGATAGTTTGCTAACTGCAGGAATTGAGTCCTCAGAACTGGGTTGCTTGGGAAAGGATTTCCCACTGAAGGACAAAGTCTCAGGCCACCAGGCATCTGAGAAGGGTTAGGTAGGCCAAGGCCAAGTCACACCATGAAAGAAAATGAGTCCTGTGTTATGGATGTGCTGGGGGAAGGCAAGACAGGGCACAGTTGCAAAGCTCGTGCAAAAGGGATGTCTCTCAGGGCATTTGCAGCTTGAGTTGGAGGAGGGCAGGACAACATGTCTTTGTCACCAAAACAGAAGAAAATAAAATGTGACAGTCTGGCCAGGGAGTAAAGGCAGATGGGACTGGTACCTCAGTAAGGAGATAGAAAAGATATAAAAAAAGATTGGTGGTTTTGTGAACAAAACAGCAGTTCTTCATCCTATGCAAACAGGATTTGATTTACCAAACCAAAACCAACGTACTACTGTGATAAAACCATTAATTTTAAACTTTAAATATTTAGTAGCACTTTTCTCACTTTCTTTTGTTGTTGTTTTTTTTTAAACATTCACTGAGTTGAAGAGCTGTGTAAGGGTTTCAGCTACCAAGTATGATACTGCAATCACAGTCATTAAAAAATGGAAGTGAATGTGCTGTCTGCTCCTGCCCAAACCTCAGCTCGCCAAATTTGCTCTGTTTCATTTACTTGATTCAAAAACACAGGCTGCCTTGTGGAAATTTATGCCCTTCTACAGAACTTGCTGTATTCTGTGAGAGATCAGTGCTGGGAGAGGAAGGAAATTCCAATTTGATTTTAAAGAAGGAAAGAAAACTGAAACCATTGTAATTATGCTTTGTGACATGTTAGCACATATTTTCTTTTTATGAATGTGAAAACATAGGACTTGGGGATTTGCTGGTTTGTTTTTTTTCTAAGCAAGAGAGCAGCAAAAGAGAATCCCATATTTTCCTTCATGCAAAGACAGATGATCCATACAGGAAATGATCCATTGCTGAGCAGTAGCATGTGCTTTTTATCTGTGTGTGTATATGTGTGTATACACATACACGTGTATATTTATATATGTACATGACTCCATGTATATATGTATACAGATACGGTGTGTATAGGGGCACAATATCAACAGACATTTACTGGAATCTCCTCTTCTTCAAGTAGCTTGTCAGTTGCAGAGAAGGTCCCCAGTCTCTGATTAACCCCTGCAGCTACCTTTGATTTATGCATGCTACATAAAGGAATGAGCTGCAAAAGAGCACAATGTCTTGAAAGAGAAAAAAGGCAAGCAGGCAGGCAACCCCCTGATTTATGCAGAAAGAGGTAGGATGCCACTGCCTGTCCTCAAGGGGACATTACAATTGCTCTGAGTAGCCAAGTCTGTGTCCTGCCTGCGGACGTGCTCCAGAGTAAGGCCACATGTTGTTTCCGGTTTCAGTGTCTGGTGGCTGCTTTGTGCATCCCATTGTTGGCCAGATGAGACTGCAGTCTAACAGGAACAGAAGACCCACAGGGGGCGCAGCTTTGTATCATGTTCAGTTTCCTGCTCTTGCAGGTGCTTAACATAGTTTATTGTCTGATTACCAAGTTCCATCATGTGCAAATAGTAAAGCTGAGTGCCTCCATCACTCCACTTCCCAAACCTCTGATGAAGGAAATCTGCCTCTCGGGTTTCTGCTTGTGCCCTAATGAGAGAAGGAAATCCACAGCCTCTTCCACTTCCAGATCATGACGCTGAATTGTGGGTCTCCATAGCCACTCTGTCTCACTAGCCAGTGCACATTCTTTTGAAACTGGGGATGGTGACTTCCTACTGCTTGTCCTTTCTCTCACTGATATGGAATCAGATTCTGATAATTTGACCCATGCTGTTTTCCAATGCATTTCCACCGAGCTGCTTCTTGAAAAGCAAGTGACCATTTGGAAAATCTTCCAGCTCTGACATCTAAAAACATGTCCATCTTTTCATTATCAGGAAAAGGCCTTGGTCTCTAGGACAATTTCCTGTGGCAGCTCCCTGAAATAGCTCTTCAATAACAACAGAACTCTCTCTCCACATCTCAGTCTGATGTTAAAGTCAGTAGCAAAATGCCCACATCACCAATGCTGCACTCTTTACCACCCTTCATCTAACAATTTTATCTCAGGTCTATTTTATCTGTTCTCTCCAGCACACAATTCCATTCAGTGCTCACACTGCTTTTACCTTTGTTTTATTTTCCCTCTTGTGATGGTTGTCCTGCCATGTTTCTCCTACCTCTGTTCTATCTGGTTTCAGATCCTGAATCAGTACTTCCAGTTCCCCCATGTTTTTGTCAGGTTCCTCAGCATCACAGTACAAACACAGGACATATTACCTCTCACTTTCTGTTTCTTGGCCCACATATACAGAAGTCTGTCAACATCTGACCTTCTTGGAAATCAATTCCTCAGTTAGGGACCTATGGGATCAGCAACACAAGATGACAGTCAGGAGAGCGTTAGAGGCAGCAAAACCATTTTTAGCTGTTGTGGCCCCTCAGTGCTTTCCAAGATGAACCAGATCCCCAGGGGATAGACATGCTTTCTTTCTGTATGAAAAATTGCTCTCACGTAATTTGGCTGAATAGTGAAGTGAAGGCTGCTTTATGCAACAGATGTGGATTGCAAAAAAAAAAAAAGTTTGTCCCAAAATGATCCATACAGGAACCCATAAACATTATGTAGCAAAACTACCACACAAATTGGCTAAAAGGCAAAGTTCTTATTTTGTTTAAGGTAGGAGTAAGGGGAAAAGGGGACACCAGTGAAGAATAACTGTGCTTATAAAAATAACTTTGGTAATCCATTTTCATTTCACAACTTTTCACTGACTTGACACCTCAACCTCTGAAATCATTAAACCTAAGGTATCTTATGGAAGACATGGCAGTGGGTAAAAAAAACAAACAATGAAGCCATATTGATTCATACTAACTGATTAGATGCATGTTTTCTCCTTCAACACTTTCAAATAGAGTGTAAATCAGAGTGAATTGGTAATGTTCTCGGCGAGCCTGACAAGCAAATTCTTGGCAGTACTAATATATTTACTTTGCAGGGCAGGGCATGGATACCGTTAGGAAACTTTTCCAGGAAAGCTGCAAAAAGACAAACTTGTTTTTAATTTCTTGAGCTTTGGTACCACAAAAGTCTTTATTTTAAGCTGGGGACACTGCCCGTTTAATCCACTTTTATCTCTTCATTTGTAAAGGCATACCTTGTGGGTTGGATAAAGTTCAACTACTAGAAAAATCTTATGACATAAATACTGTGGCAATCATTCACGTAAGTGACAAGCTTAAATCCACCTCCCCCAGTCAAGAATAAGATGGAAAAACAGGAATTCTGCTTTTCCTCCCTCTTTCTGCAAATCTTACATGACAGAGATGCCTTGAGACACAGATCTCTTAAGTTATGGCAAACAGAGCTGGGAGTGTGAGATTAGTACTTTCCGGCACACTACCCCTCCAAGAAGTGCCCTCTGTATCCCACTGCCTCCCATACAGCCTACGAGCAAGGAAGGTCATCTCTGCTGGCCCTCCAGGCACCCGTGTGCAGTGGGAGTAGTCCTTGCTTCCACGACCTCAGCCGGTTCAGCCACAGGTTTCCTTGGCTACAAACCCAAATCATGCCGGTTGGCAAGCAAACCTCCACACTTACCACAGCAGATCTGTGATGCTGCAGCCAGCAGTCTCCAGTTGCCTGTGCTGAAGGCCAATGGGATCTTGAACAAAAGCAGGCCAAGAAACAAAACATTCACTGCTGAATTTGCATAAAGGAAACTGGATCCACCCGTGGCCTCCTATTTTGCCAAAATGGCACAGAAATAACAGCTACAGAAGGTGCTACATGAATTCAAAATCCTCTTTTCTTTTCAGATCACTGAGAGAATAATTGTTTTATTTGTCGTGATCAACAGTCAGGAAGAAGTTCAAGGGAAATATGTCGTGTGTGTTTTATTTTTCCTTTGGAATTTATTAGATGTGGTCAGGTAAGGAGTCAACATCAAAACCACGAGGGGAAAATGGGTTATTCTTGCCACCAGAACCCCACCCTTACTGTGCAGCAGGCTCATTGAATTGTTTCAAAATTGGCAAAGCATATTATCCATTGTAAGTAAAGCTTGAGCCTTGTAAGTTACTTACTGTTTTTTATAAAAATCCATATGGTTGAGAGGCAGAGTGACTTAAAAATATAAGACAGAGTAATGCAGTAACATAATGCATTATCATTTGTAGTTCAAAGGCTTTGCCTTTTTTAACAAAAATTTAAAACGAAATCACAACTACCTTCCAAGGAACACCAATTTCCGAAAGCGATTTACCATCCTGTTGCTTTATTTTTTTGTTTTTATCCACTTTGATCCAAGATTGACAGCACAGTATAGCACGAGCAGAACTTCTTGCTAAAATGAAAAGACTATTCTAGGTTAATTGCACCTGTGCTTTTCAAAGAGCCAAGAGGTCCCGTAGCAGAGATGAGCATTTTGGTGTAGTAGGGCATATATCACACCACAAGGACAACAAACATACTTCTCAAATGTAACATAAGCCTCTATGCACCTCAGTTTGTAGACTTACAGCAGGTAAAACGTACAGAATTAAGAAGCATTTTAAGAAGACATAGCCCTCACAGTAACCTATGTATGGCAGCAAAATCTTTTTTTCTTCTGCTAAATAGCTTTCTGCTACTTTGAATATATTGCTTAGGGGACCGACTGAAAAATATGGATTTAGGCAGCAAAGGAAATGCATGTTATAAAAGAGATCCAAAAAAGGAAAGTGTCAGAACTGATAGAGATTTTAAGTCAGCTTCAGAGTATTTGTACATGTGTTAATAGACTACTACTTGTATTATTTTTATTATTGCTCCATCCCATTTATGTTTGAAGCTTGTAAAGCTAAAGTAGTAGAACTTAATCTGAAATGAAAGGGTTCTGTGCAGCTGGAGAGATGCCAAAAATATAAACAGAATTGGCTGTAAAGTCCTGTCAGTGCACAGTAATTCAATCAATGCATCATTAATTTTCTACCATTGCTAAAGAACATGCTCCAGCATCACAGCAGTAATGGCAGTTGCTTAGTAAGCAAAATACTGTAGTCTATAGGAGCAAGTGACCAATTCAAATAACATATTACAACTCATATAGGTTTAGAATTATTGCCTGATTTATTTTATAGCATCTGTGTCACGCCTAGTATCTTAAAGAAATAAAAGTGGAAAGGGATCTATCCCATCCAACTACTCTTGAAATATTACAAGTTCTTCCACATAGTCCTTTGGGGACATAAATATCCCTGAAAGGACTACTTACTATGCATTATGACTAATGGTGGCCATGAGCAAATTCTGCAAGGTTTTCTATACCTGATCTTTCCTGCTTATAGCATGAACAGCCCATGGAGTTGTATAGAGAGGGAGTAGCTGCGTCCTTTTCCTGTTTTGTATCAGGTTGAGATTCAGCTTTAAAAGCAAAAATAATAAAAAATGGAGACAATCCCGAGGTTTCAGAGATCAAACTTGAGAGAAAATGGTACAGTTACAGCCTATCAAACTCTTCTACAGTCCAGGTATGATGCAAAATGAATCAATTAATAAGAAGGGAATATAGAAAGTTTGTTTAATGTTGGTTTCATCTATCAGAAAATCTTGGGTAACAGATTTTCATATCTCTAGCAAGACCACAGGGCAAAAAGCCTTTCAGCTGACCAAAAAAGCAATCAGACCTGTTTCTCAGTGTTTGGAAAGCTGCTGTACCACTTTAAGATCAAACCAGAATTAGCTCATCTTTGGAGACTGAAGTCCTAAGCATTCTGGTCTCCCAGTAACAGCCACAGTAAGAATAAAATGATGAAATACACTGGAGCACAACTGTTTGTTTTTTTGCTCTTACTACCCCTTCAGAGGTCTAGCATAGGAGCAGATGTACTACGGAAGGTTAAGTTCCTGCAATTACCTTCCTATTTAGCCTTCTCCAGCAATGATTTAGCTAGCTCAGCAGTCATAAATTACCATTTTCTTAGTCCCAAGTGATAGGCATATTCTACCTGCACCTACCCAGATGCAATATCCCCATCTGAAATTCATTTTCTAATGGATCAGTATGAAATCATGATGTTTCTGATGGAGCTGTCTGTCTGGAGGGCTCTATTGCTGTCTGCCTGCTCTGGGGTAGCACCACAGACCCCCCTCTCCAAAACAATGAACCATCTACTTTTAGGCTATGGAGCCTTAAAAAAGCCGTTGCTCACTCTGAAATTTACTGAGATAGGCAGCTCCAAGCTCTTCTGCAATTCCTTTGGATTTTTCAATAACATTTCTTTATTCTAAAAGACATCATCATGCCCTCTGAGCTCATCTGCTTTCCTCTTGCTGCAGATACACTTACAGCATGTTGGCAAGGATGGGAATATACTACCTACCATTGACATGGCTCAACTTCTCACTGTGCATCCCACTTTATCCCCTTTCAGTTCTGGCTAAAGGTAAGGAAGTGGGAAAGGTACCAACAACTTGCTTCCTCAATATTCTTCAATAAAATGTGATCACTTTAACTGCCATTTGCGTTTAAGGTAGTTCTTCTTGTGTTGCCAAAGTTGTCATAAAAGTTTATGTATCTTCATATTAACCTGTATGTCACCTCTCTTTCTCTTTTCTGTTCTTTTTTCTTTAATAGGAGCTCTCTGACGTTTGGAGTTTGTATGTCTGGTGGGGTTTTTGTTTGGTTTTGGATTGTTTTTTAACAATATAGGAAAATGTCCATTTTTCTGAGTAAAGCAGAAAAATACTCTCGTAAAAGACAAACGGATTCCCCCATTCCAGACTGAGCACATTAGACAGCAAGTTCCAAAGCTCCCTTCTCCCCCACTGAGGTTGACCTTACTGGTTTAGGCCATACTTAGCAGATCATCATACTTACTTCAAGAAAAGTGCCCACTGAGAGCACACTGAAAGCACTGTAACTACAGGATTGACACTGAATAGGAAATACTTGCTAATTCTAGTACTAAGAGCAATTAGCACCTCAGACCTACAAAACCGAACTCAAGGAGAAAATGTTCATATGTGTATTAATATATATGAATGTGAATATATAGGTATATTAATGCATAGGTATATACAATACAGCTGTTTGTGCTTTAAAAGTAATTAACTGTTACACAAAGCTTTTTGATGATCTTCCACCTCCTTTTGACTAAGGATTTACCATGTTTTACAGCATTTGCAATTTGTGTATCACTGCCTTATTTTGAATATTTTGGCACATACTCCATCAAGCTACCATTTCCATTCGCCTTCTCAATCTACTTCCCCTATGTTCTGAAAATGTACCTGCTAGTGCTCTTTACAGGTAAGTATCTCATCTTTCAGAAAGCTGGGTCCCAAGGCAACTGGGATGTCTATGGCAACAAAAAATCAAGTCAGTATTGTGCCTTTCACAAACTCTAACTGTCTCTGCCACATTTTCTGCAGACCACTGCAGGGAAGTGCATCACCACCTGTTTTGATTTCCAGTATCTTTCAAATACAAGTTTGAATTTGTAAGATACACTATGTGTATGAGGCATAAAAATACAAACCAATAAAAATTGTTTCAGTGGTCCTGGCCTTACAGCTACTTAGAGAAGCTTTCTTTTTTGTTTTGTTTTGTTGTGGGTTTTTTTTAATATCAATTTCCATTTGATCATACTCTTGTTCTGTGCAACTATTGCTCATTCATTTGTGCTAGCTGGGATGAGAAGTTATATCTAAATTAACACTTCTACTGCTTGATTATTCAAAAGGATGAAAAAACTAGCCCACTCCAAAATCTGCATGTAAATAGACTCCTTCTCCTCCTCATCAAAATACTTTTGAAAAATTTGGACATTACATACAAGTCTTTGTTCTGTCATTGACTTTAACATGAATTTGAAGGATCTCAGCTTTATGATGCAGTGTTCTGTTCCTAAGTACGTGGAAGGAACTGTGCAAGGTTGCCAGATGAAGGCTCCTACTGCTCCTTCTAAATTTATTCAAGACAGTTTTGGACTCTGCTCCCTTGTTCTTACACCATTTTGTGTTTTGATTCAGGTATGTGCTTTATCATCCAGAACCTCTTCTCCGAGAGAAAGGCACACCTAGGGACAGGCAACATCAAAACCAAAAGAAGCTAAGTCGATACTTTGTTTCGAAATACAAAATATACTCCTAGTGGACTGCTGCATATCATAAGTTGAAAAGAAATTAGACGAAGATTTTTCAATGCAACGCTCCTCTTTGCGTGTACATCATCTGGCTGTGTAGAATTTTCAGAAAGGCAGGTCTCTTGAATGCACCTCAAAAATGGAGCAACTTCGGAAAACTTTTGAAAGTTTTAACTAAAAATTACTGGAGTTTTTGATATTAATATATTTTTCTAACATATATTAGAGAATTCTGAACAAACTGAAGAGTGCCTCCACTCACAGTCACACCAACAAACCTTATTTCGGTATTAATTCTTACCTCATTGGCAACAAATACTCTGTAATGACAATTACCATTTAATCCGTTAAGATTACTTTATATTAGGCCAACATGTATGTGCCTGATATATAAAAGTTAAAAAGGCTGGAACTGGATCTCTCAAGGAGAAGCCAGAACCTTTGCAACCTATGAGACTCACATGCTGATTAGCCCCAGGCACTCACATTCTGGCCCATTCTTCACTTAACAAAAGAAGATTCCAGTACATGCAGCTAAACCAGAAAGGCAAGTGATCAGGTATTCAACTACTATATATTCAAGGGGATATTTAAGGATCAGAAATAAATACTTATGATCATGTATCTGCCATGACTTGCCCCTCTCCCCTCAATGATTTTCTCCCATGCTGAACAGCAGACAGATGTGTGCAAAAGAAGTGGGATACAGTCAGCCCAAATACATGTTGCTCTTTAAAGGGAACTGAATGACTACCAAAAACCATGTGCAAAAATTTAGGCATTTTACTCAATTGCATTGCTCCTCATACTTCTGCAGGACTATCTGTGAGAATGCAACTAGATCATTGGCTCTTCAGAGGTTGGGAATTAAGAATAAACAGCAACACAGTGGATTGTACAGGCAAAAGTAGCCAAATAACTCATTTTGGCTGGCAGGGGCTTTTCTGATGTTTTATTTGTATTGATTATCACCTGCATTTCAATTCAAATAGGTGGGGCAGAAAAGTGAGGCTAACTTTTTGAGCTTGACTGAAAACTGTGGGGAGGGAGGCAAGATAATAGTAGGAGAGAATATAATAGGAAAATAAACACTATCACAATATGAAGAGGCATTTGCCTGTAAGACTTTTTAAACCACGTAGCCTAAGAAGTTCTATAAGGAAACAGAGAAGCTAAAGTAATGTGTTATGAAAGGTCACCTACTATAATTTTTATATATTTAATATCTGTGGCAGGCAATGCCTGCAGACTATTGTGACCACTCTATTTGCAAACCATAAGCAACAAGATCATGCATGCAATAGTATAGGGTCAACTCTGGATTCTTTTTTTTCAAAGCACTGGAAACAGATAGGAATTTGGAACTTACTAGACAAACACAAGTACTTCCACTTTGGACTTCTGTCTAATCCAAACTGATTCCAGTGTGAACAACATGAAGAAACATCTAGAACAACTGAATAAGATGACAGTTTTGAAGAGGATAGCCAGAATAAATCCATATGAAACCACTATATAACTTTGAAACATGGACATTATCCCCCTTGGAAATTCAATCTAATATGTTTGTTATCAAACTACCTGGAGCTAACATACCCTGTAAGAGGAAACATCACATATGATATTGTATTGGGTCTACATGGCAAGGCTTTGGTACTGTAGAAGCTGCAGGAATGGCCTCCATGAGAAGCCATGGGCCTCCCCCATGTCAGAAACAGCTGGCTCTAGCCAGTTCCAAAATTGAGCCACTGCAGGACACTGCTGAGCCAAACAGCAAAAATGGTGGCATCTCTGTCAACATGTACATAAGAAAAGGTAAAAAAATGTTATGCAGCAGCTGTGAGAAAGAAGACTAAGAAAAATGCGAGAGAAACAGCTCTGCAGACACCAAGGTCAATAGAGAAGGAGAGGAGGAGCTGCTCCAGGCACTGCAGCAGATTCCCCTGCAGGCCATGGAGATCATGGTGGACCAGGCTGTCCCTCTGCAGCCCATGCTGATACACGCTATACAGGAGATATCCACACTGCAGCCTGGGGAGGACCCCATGCTAGAGTAGGTGGCTGTACCCTGAAGGAAGTTGCAGCCCATGGAGGGCCCCCACAAGAACAAGTTCCTGGCAGGAACTGTGGCCCATTAGGGACCCAGGCTGAAGCAACCTTTTCCCAATGGATTGTACCCAATGCTAGAGCAGTGCTTGAAGAATTGCAGCTTGTGAGAAGGAACCATCAAGGTCTGTATCCCGTGGGAGGGACTCCATGCTAGAGCAGGGGAACAGTATGAAGAGAAACAAGCAGCAGAGATGAAGGTTTATGAACCAAGTGCAACTCCCATTCCCTACCCACCTTGCACTGCTTGGGGAGGGAGGAGGTAGAAGATTCAGGAATGAAAGAATAGAGCTGACCCTAGGCAGAATGGAGGGGTGGGGAGAAGGCAATTTTAGTTTTGTCTTTCTTAGCATCCTACTCTATTTTTAACTGGCAATAAATTAGTCTTCCACAAGTTGAATCTGGTTTTCTGATAGTGAATGGTAAATGATCTCCCTATCTTGACCCACGAACTTTCTTCCTGTCCTGTTAAGTTGTTGGAGTGAGAATAGACATCTGGCAGCCAGTCGAGGTCAAACCTACCACAGATTAAACCATATTTATTGTTTTATGTTAAAAAACCGTTATATCACTGAGTCTTGCAGCAGTCTAAAAGGCTAGAATAGGAAAAGGATTCTTTGAAATTCACTGTGTGGAGGACTCCTGTAGGCATAGGTATGCTTTTGGAAGAATTCGTAAGGGGAAACTAGAACTTGCTGTTCCACTTAGGAAGCTTTTCTCCCTATCCCTTCTGCATTTCAGAGAAAGCTGCAGGGAGAGCTGTGAGTAAGCTCTCTCTGGAATGCAGGAGAGATTAATTTCACAGACATGTACAGGGCCTCCTTGGGCCAGAGATAGTGGGGGAGGAGAAACAGAGGATAAAAAAAGCCCTGGAAGAGCAGGGGGGCCTTTTCTCTGAGGCCCAGTGCTGTCCTGCAGCACTGTGAGTTTTTGTAAGGTTTTAGCATCCTTGTCTTTGAAATAAACCTTTCTGAATCCTTTCCACTGCCTTGGCATTTTTGGGTAAAGTATCTGCATACCTTACAACCCCCAAACCCTAACTGCAAGAAAAAGGCATGAACCTAATGTCAGAAGACTTCCCCACCTCCTTCTGGTACAGAGGTAACTTGGGGCAGGCAACTGGGAGATCCAGGCAGTCAGACTTCCATGTGTGATGACAGCAGGCCACTGTACCTTCAGCTCCAATGCCTCACCTGAGTTTCTGGGAAAGCTCTGGATTGGGCAGGCAAAAAGATGTTTAAGACAATGGCTTTTATGACAAAGAGTTGTACTTCAATGCTTGTAACCTGTTAGAGAGGGATGGGATCCACTTGTCTAAAAATGGCAAGAGAATCTTTGGCAGCCGATGCCATTATGTTCTCCTGGGGCGTAGGCATGGCAGGATGGGTCGACAAGGGGAGAACAGTGGATGTTGTCTACCTTGACTTCAGCAAGGCTTTTGACATCATCGTAGGTAAGCTCAAGACATGTGTGTTAGATAAATGGACAGTGAGGTGGATGAAGAACTAGCAAAGCTCAGAGGGTTGTGTTCAGCTAAACAGAATCTGGTTGGAAGCCTGTAGTCAGTGGCATTTCCAGGGATCAGTACTGGATCCAGTCTTAATTCAACTTGTTTATCAACAACCTGGATGAAGGCATCAAATGCACCCTTCAGCAAATTTGCTGATGATACAAAGCTGGTGGGAGTGGCTGATAAACCTGGAAACTGTGTTGCCATTCAGCAGAACCTTGATAGGCTGGAGAGCTGGGCAGAGAGAAACCTAATGCGGTTCAACAAGGGCAAGTGTAGGTTCCTGCACCTGGAGAGGAATAACCCCAAGCACCAGTACAGGTTGGGGGGGCTATACTACTAGAGAGCAGCTCTGCAGAGGAAGACCTGGGAGTCTTAGTGGATGACAAGTTAAACGTCAGCCAGCAGTGAGTTTCTGTGGCCAGGAGGGCCAATGGTATCCTGGGGTGCACTGGGAAGACTGTGGCCAGCAGGTTGAGGGAGGTGATCCTGCCCCTCTACTTGGCCCTCCATACTTGAGGAGAATTGTGTTGAATTCTAGACTCCACAGTTCAAGAAAGACAAGGAGCTACTGAAGAGGGGCCATCAGTGGGCCACAAGAACGATCAGGGGTCTGGAACATCTCTCTTATAAGGAGAGACTGAGGGAGCTCGGCCTGTTTAGTCTGGAGAAGACTGAGAGGGAATTTCATCAATACATATAAATATTTCAAAGGCGGATATTAAAAAGGTGGTGCCAGACTCTTTTCAGTGGTGCCCAACTACAGGACAAGAAGCAACAGCCATAAACTAAAACACAAGTTCCCTCTCAACATGAGGAAGAACTTCAAATTGAGCATGGCAGAGCATTGGAACAGACTGCCTAAGGAGGTCATGGAGTCTCCCTCTCTGGAGACATTAAGAACCCACCCAGAAATCTGCTTTTGAGGACTTAGAGATCCACAAGTGTTGGTCAGTCTTTCAGAACCACCCTTTAGAAGCACAGAAGCAGGCTGTGCCAAAAGTCAAGCAACACGGGCAGAAGAGCAGCTTGGCTGAACAGAGGACATTACTAACTAGCTCCCTAAAGAACTTAAGATTTCCTCTCCTGAAATCCAGGGTAGCAATTCTGATGACCTTTTTTCTCATTTACACCAAAAAATTTAAACTGAACCATTTCATGGTCACTGTGGCCAAAAGAGACACCTACCATCCCATCTCCCATGAGTCCTTCTCTATTCACAAACAAGTCGGGAGGGGCATCTTTCCTAGCTAGCTCACTGAATACTTGTGAGAAGAAATTATCTTCAGCATAATTCTGGAACTTCTCAGACTTGCTTGTCGCAGTTATGTGTGAGAAGTTGAAATTTTCCATAAGGACAAGTGTTGGAGGTGCCCCAAGAGAGTCCTATGAGTGGTGGAAGAGACTTAATGAGGAGAGATCAGAGGAAGAGGAAGAAAATATCTCAGAGTGCTTCTACGCTGTCATGCACAAGATATGATCATCATAACCACGAGAGTGCCTATTTCCAGTGTTTTACTTAGTTATACAATTGTTCCCTTGTTGGCATAATATGTTTTATTATGAGAATGTGTGATTGCCTTCTCTGTATCCCTGTTACCATTTCTTCTATTGGTTCTATGTAAACCCTTTCCTTATTTGTCCGACCCTGCTGCATCGCAGTACTCCCCATAGATGGCTTTTCATGGCTGTCCATGTTTAGATAAGTTCCACCCCTTGTTACTGTGATTGGCCGCTCCTTGAATACTTCTCCCAGTCTCCACCCTTTGTTCTAGCAAGTTCCCTGCTCTCCCTTTATAAGCCGGCGTCCATGTCCAATAAACGGCCATTTTGTTTCGCACTGTGACTTGCATGCAGAGTGATCCTTCTGGGTCTTGCTAAAGTGGGGGTTACAGCTCTCCCTCTGTCAGACAAGGGCTACTGATCCAGAGATTTCTCCTCATTGTCTATAGATTAAATAGTCAGTGCTGGCGTCATGGATGACTGAACAACAGCAGACAACCACAATGACATCTGCTTTGTTTCCCATCCTCCTAATTCTCACCCAGAGGCTTTCAACCTTAACTGTAAGGACTGTACAGTCAAACCTGTTCCTCATACACAGTGCAACTCCTTTGCCTCATCTGACCAGCCTACCCCTCCTTAACAGCCCATAGCCCTGCATCCCAGCACTCCAGTCATGGGACTCATTCTACCAAGTCTCACTAATCTCAATGATATCACAGGTCTGGGAGCTGGCTAACGCTTCCAGTTCATCCTGTTTACTTCTTATATCTTATATCTGGTGTACAAGAATTTCAATATGCTTCTAAACTCTCAGTGCTCCCTGCAGCTGTGTTAGCATTGCCACCCTCAGGCCATGCCATGCCATCCCTTGGCTTACATTTTTTACTACACATGAGTAGAAATTCAGTTAATTCAGATGTTTATATACTGCTCCACTATGCAAACTAAAACAGCAAGTAGGGATCACTCAGTGGTTCCCTTTAAAAAAGACAAAAATTTCATCTGAATTAAAATGCTACTACACGTCCAAACTAAGATAAGTAAAGGTGTAAGTTAGCTTGAAACAGTACATTAGAAATGGCACTATTAAAGTGTGACATATTTGGCTTTGTTAGATGTTACTTAGAAGTACACACACAAATAGAAACGTCATCAGCTAAGATACTGACTCAGTGACAACTGCTTTCAGTGAGTCATTCTGCACATTCACCTTTAGATAGTCTTCTTCATATACAGCTGCATATGCAGCATGAAATTACAATTAATTATACACTATTTTGTAAACTAAGGCGTCTGCAGGCCCACACCAAGACCTTAAACCATCTTGTCCGGGAGCTGCTTTATGCTGATGATGCCGCCCTTGTCGCCCACACAGAAGCAGCTCTGCAGCGTTTAACATCCTGCTTTGCTGAGCTGCTGAGCTCTTTGGGCTGGAAGTCAGCTTAAAGAAGACAGAGGTTCTCCATCAACCTGCACCTCAGGAAGTCCCCCATCATCCCCACATCGCCATTGGCCAATCAGAACTCAAATCAGTCCAGCAGTTTAATTACCTAGGTAGCCTCATTGACGGAGAGATAGACAACAGGTTGGCAAAGGCATATAGTGCTTTTGGAAAACTCCACAAAAGAGTATGGCGTAATAAACACTTGAAGAAAAGTACCAAGATCAGTGTTTACAGAGCCATAGTGTTGTCTGCTCTCTTGTATGGTTCCGAGTCATGGGTCATCTACCGCCACCACCTGCGTCTCCTAGAACGCTTCCATCAACGCTGCCTCCGTACAATCTTAAACATCCACTGGTCAGATTATGTGACCAATACATCTGTTCTAGAGCAAGCAGCAGTCACAAGTATTGAGGCCATGTTGTTGAGAACACAGCTGTGATGGGCAGGGCACGTCTCCAGGATGAAGGACCACCGCCTCCCTAAGATCCTGCTCTATGGTGAACTTGCCACTGGCTGCTGCATGAGAGGAGCCCCGAAGAAAAAAATACAAGGACTCCCTTAAACAACATCTCAGCCTTGGCCATATTGACCACCGTAACTGGTCTACTCTGGCCTCAAATCGGGAGGCCTGGAGACACACGATCTATAATGCTGCTGTCTCCTTTGAGAACACACGCAGGATCACTCTTGAGGAGAAAAGGCAACGCAGAAAGAACCGTGTTTTGCAGAATACACCATCTAAGGAATCTTTCTGCTGTGCCTTTTGCAATCGGATATGTCTGTCTCGTATTGGCCTCATAAGTCACCAGCGTGCCTGTAACAAATGTGGATAGAGCCTTCCCAAATCTTCGTTTGCGAAGCCCAGCCATGATTTTGGTACAAACAAGTACTGCACTAATCCTCCACACACTCAATCACTGAAGAAACGTCCAATCACTGTGGGAAGCCCACTGCCATCCCACAGTAGCCTTGTTGGACGAGAAACAACCCCCCCCGCTCCTGCCAAGAATCATAGAATCAAAGCATATTCTGAGCTGAAAGGGATCCACAAGGATCACTAAGTCCAGCTCCTGTACCTGCACAAGACAACCCCAAGAGTCACATCATGTGCCTGAGATCATTTTTCAAACACTTCCTGAACTCTGTCAGGCTTGGTGCTGTGACCACTTCCCTGGGGAGCCTGTTCCAGTGCCCACCCGCCCTTTGGGTGAAGAACCTTTCTCTAATATCCAACCTACACCTCCACTGACACAACTTCAGGCCATTCCCTCATGTTCTGTCACTGGTCACCACACGAAGAGATCAGTGTCTGCCCCTCCTCTCCCTCTCATGAGGAACTTGGGATTGCAATGAGGTCTCCCCTCAGACTTCTCTTCTACAGGCTGAACAGACCAAGTGACCAAGAAGTCAGAGGAGAATTTCTTTCACAGATGAAATGTTACCAGTCCTGAAAATAGGAGAATTCCTGCAATGAGGTGTGTCTTCTAGACGTAGGGTGGTGACATTTCCTTCAAGCTTATCAAAATCAACAATTCTGTCACTAGTACTGTTTCAAAAGACATTAAGGAACAGTGCCCAAGCAATTATATTGAGTTAATTTTTGTCTACTCCAGCAAGGAGGATTTGTAAATACAAACCCTCTTTAAGATCTGTCTTAGCGAGACTGCAAAGTAGCAAAATTCTCTATTCCTTCAGAAACAGAAAAGTATTAAATAAGAAAAATAGCACAAGCTAATCTATTTAAGATGGTAAAGGTGGAAAAGAATTGCTGTATTGTCTCTTTTTCCTAGAGGCAGAGAAGAATTCTTTTTATGTGTAAAGGAGACAAAACTAGTAATAAGTGGAAAGAAAATTGCAGCTGTCTTGGAGCTGCAGATTTAACAGCCATCAGATCATTGACTTATTTCAGTGATCTTTATAAAGCCACTGCAAAATTGACAGACATACCACCCCTTTCAGAAACGCTGCTCACACTATACACCTGCTGTAACTGCTCACACTATGTATGTGTTGTCACTGTTGCACAAGAACATAGTGTTATTTCTAAAAAAAAAGGATTATCAGTTAAAAAGTAATGCTCATTCAGAAGTCTGTTACACTAGAACACATTTTAGTAAATAAGCTACATCCAAACAAATTTCACAAGTTTGTTTTATTTCCATCTATTCCTACATAGCTTCCATGAACTAAAGGAATATTCCACTCCAGCTTGCAAGGTTCCCAGATGTCACTCAACTCAATTGAAACTCAACTGAATGTGTCTTTCTCATTTATATTCAGCATGTTTGAAGAAGAACACCAACCCATCAGTTAAAAACAAAATATTTGTTTTCATCTTAGGAGTCTTTATAAGGAGGCAAAAGGGTAAAATAAAACAATTCAAAACCCTCTGATAGGAAACGTCTTTGGAATTTGGTTTATTGATACCTGAGTCATGATATTATGTTTTCAAGTATGAACAGTTTTCTTCATTGGATAAGATACGGTGTACACTGTATCTTACCACCCATAAGCTTTAGTCCATACTGCTTTCTTCTTGAACTCTGCAAGAGATCTCAAGGCCAGAAGTGTAACTGTGAAGACAGGGGAAAATTAAATTAATTTTGCAGTCCAGACTGGAAAAGATGTGAGTGTATTCTCCCTACTAATTTTACTAACAAAGGTATGGGTTTAATTCTCCTTTTACTGACTCTTTTCATGACTCTTTCACTTTTTAGTATGACTTTTTAGTATTACTGCCACTGTTTGCAAGGTACACTAGTCTCTACATCCCTCTGAAATGTGATGTTGTACTAGGCATTTCCTATGCCATAAATGGCATGTCTCCTACTGAAATGACATCACATCAACTAATAATTAGTCTATCACTTAGGCACATAGATGAATCACACTGCAGAAAGTTTGAATGCAATGAACAATTATGTAAGAGGGGAGATAGGAGGCACCGGGAACAAGAGAAGCACAAAGTCGAAACTCTGTGCAACTCACTGATTCCTTAATTCAATTTGTAAAGATATACGTTTAGACAAAATCCAGTAGCCAAATTAGTCACAGTCTAGTTATTCAGAAGGGAGTTTCATGTTCTAGCACATAAAAGCAAAAAAACAATGCAAAGCTCAAGGGGAACAATGACTTATCTCAATCAGGGCATACTGAGAATATACTGTGTTTATCAGAATCCTCTGATATACAGAGGAGATTCGCCAATAGCCCTTGGCATTGCTTCTGGTGGAGATCAGCAGACACAACAGGGAAATTTATCAGAGTAACTGAAGACTGCAGACCCTCAAAACAAGGCTAACTGTCCTAGTAATGAAAAGAACTTATATCTGGATTTCAAGAAGCCTTGTTTAGGTCCAAAAAATCACGTGATCCGAAGGAGGTGGCTTGTGTTAATGGAAGGAAGCACAAGGGCACTTACTTCACTTGGAAGTATTTGTAGTGTCCTCTTAAAATGACTTGCACTGATTGTATTCACAATCCTACATATGTAGGTGAGCAATGGGATTCATGTTAAGGCCACAGGCTCCTACTGCAATTCAAAATATCATTTACTTTCCACCTTTATTTTCAGATATGTTTTCAGCAACCCTCACTCCTCTTTCCTTTTTTTTCAGACCACTTCACTAGGCTGTCACTGTCCATCTCCTATCCCTTCCCTACAGTGCAATCTTCAGTTGCACCTAAGTTATGTGATTTCTCTTCTAGTATTGGAGAGTTTCCGAACAGTATGTTGCATTTTATTTTTAAGGGTAACTTTAAAAACAACGGACAGATCCATCACTGAAATAAGCCTGTAGGACTAGATGTACCTTTAGGTCCTTAGGATCCTCAGTGCTACATAGTAAGCAGATGAGACAGCAAATATAAGAAGGTGTTACAGACAAGAATATTAACTTACCTGTGACAGTTTTCTTAAAGACAAAATACAGCTCATCTCACTCCTTTTAACAACTGCATTTTGATCTGTCCTGACAGTTTCGAAAAATAGTATAGTATGGCCAGTCTTCGCGAGCGAAGATTTGGGAAAGGTCATTAACCCTTCGAGCCTGCGCAGTGGATTTTTTAGGTGAGACACAGCGTGCGCTGAACTGAGCCCACCCTTTAATCCTGAGGTTCATCTGCCGGGGCCAAGCAAGCTTGGACAGTGGCAGTGAGGGTCTCAGGACGTAGGTTTGTTTAGAGTGACCTTCTCTTAGATGGATTGCCTCACAGGGCTAACGAGCTCCATCTGCCCGGGGGGCTGGGAATCGAACCCGGGTCGCAGCGGTGAGAGTCCTGCACCCTAACCACTAGGCCACCAGGGGCCCCGCTTTGAAAAATAAGGACCCAATTAAAAGTATCTTACCTTTCAGGAGGTCCATGGAAGACTTTGATAATGCTTCCTTAGGACTTTCCATCATATTGATCAGCCAGTCAATAAACTAAAGATTGAAATATGAAGAAAAGTCTCAATTAAAAGAGCCTTTGCATCAAAACACGACAAATTCTTTTCAGTTTGACAGGCAACATCTGATTGCTGCTAAATTCAATTATCTAATCAGAGGCAGTGGCCAATGAAGCTTCTGCCCAGAGTATCCAAATGCCCTGGAGTACATCTCACTGTCAGGGCAATTTTTCCCACAGCTGGATCTGAAACTCCCTTTGTTCCTTCTCATTATCACAGCAATAATTCTTTGCAATGAAGAAGGCACAGTAAATAGTTTGCCACTGTCTTGCCTGTTCACGCCTTTAACCTAATAATATGATTCTTTCTTATTAGTCTCTTGTCCAAATGTTCTACTGCAAATCCCTCAGAACTCTTATTGCCTTTGATCCTCTTTTGACCTCTCTCATTTTTCGCTACTTTTCTCTGGCAGTGTGAGGTGTCTGGAGGACAATACAGTATTTATAAGGACAATACAGAACTTATAAGGATGATTTTCAGGGCAAGACCTCAAATTCTTCCTTAAAGCCTAATTAGGCCCTGCATTTCTCCCACATTCTGAATTCTGACTTCAGTGGTAGCTCTGAGCACAGGAACTTGCTCAGAGGAATGAGTTCATAATGGATTCTGGTTTCCACAAAACAGCTAACTATTAATCTAAAGGTTTATAACAGTATTTCCCCATATATCAACTAGATGCAATCTACAGTAGGTCTGACAAATTAGGCACAATTTTCCACACTTATTTTCAACTCATACTTGAAAACAAATGATACAAACTACAAAGAAGACCTTTGATTGCCCCAAATTGATACTGTTGCATGTCCAACTGTTGCAGGGGATCTGTTTTTCAGTGTTTATAGGACTGACTTGCTACCAGCAGCTCCAAACTCTCCTATCATGACTGTACCTTCTAAAGAGTTTAATTCCCATCTTTGGAATTATGTTTTTCTTTGCAATCCTCCCATTTTACTTCAGCAACTACATTCATATCTGATTAAAAATAAAGAAAAGTGATATAACAATTCATATGCAATAAATGTAGAGGAAATAACTGCTCTGCCTAAGACCCAAGCTGACTACTAAAAATGGGGTCCTTTCTGACTCCTGTAAAATGCTTACCACTACACACAATTTTACCTTCTGGGTTTGTTCTTTCCAAGGCTCTTTAGCCAGCAAAAGGGAAATGCTGCTTGGAAGGAGAGTGAGAGCTTCTTGCACAGCAAACTTGTCAGTTGGGTGCTTGCCAATGTGATCCTCAGATAACTGCGGTAATATCGTGTGGTGCTTCCATGGTGACCAGTCAGCACTGAGGCCAAGCAGTAATGGTGCACCATGGTCAGCCCAGGCCACCACAGAAGCCGCAAACACCCACAGGAGAAAATCTATGCACTAAACAAGAAAAAGGCAAAAATGCACTTTTATTAAATGAATAATACAAAAGGGGGGGGAACCCAATTAAAAAAACCATAAAAACCACAACAAAAAAATCCATCCAAGAAAGAAACCAACCCCAAAACCAAAATCCAGATAGTGACTTGCTCTTCAAAACAATCATCTGAAAATTCAGCTAAAACTGAGCCTCTTTCTAAATTCAAACTAAACTGTCTACAACAGAAAGAAAAGAAGAAGCACACTCTTTTTAAATCATCCTTTATATTAAAGCGGATACACGTTTCATTTAAAATGGAGAAATAACTTCTTCATAGCAACTTGACTGTTGAGTGAAATCAGAGATGCTCACCCTTTTGGTGGTTGGGAAACATTACAGCAATGTAACAAATGCCTTTCTGATCTAAGCAGCAGCTTATTTTTTGTCCTCAAACAGAAGACCTAAACAACATTATTTCTCTAAAACTGTCCAAGCCCCCTCAGAAACAGCAGCTACACAGTTCTGACCTGCCTAGACAGTTCTACAAGTAAATTCAAAATTTTCCTTCAATTATTCTAAATACAGTAAATGTGAAGAAATTATTTCCTTTAGCTTCTATCATAATTTAAATGTCAAGGTCATTTTAGAGTAAGAGTTTTAAATATTTATTCATTTACTAAACACACATTCATTCACAAAAATTGAGATTTTTTCTGTGGAGGAAAGATCACAATCTTCTAAAATATAAAAGCATGGGGAATAACACTTATTACCGAGGAAGAATGTGAAATATATCAGAACCTCTTTTTTTCCTGCTGCAAATTATTTTCACAGCATGTACCTCTTTAAGATTGACATTTTGTAAGAGTATTGACTTGTATGCTACATTGCTGATGCAGCCCATCAGGTCTAGCAGCCAGTCCATTCTTTTCATAACTCCTAGAAAAAGAATAAGAACATTGACTCATGCAAAACACTGGAATGCACTGTTTTTCATTAAAAAGCAAGCACAGAAAATCATTAGAAAGAAAGTACTGACTGTAGTCAGTTTCTGACTGTAGTCAGAAAATCACTATAGAAAGAAAGTACTGACTGTAGAAGAATAATGATCACCAACATGGTTGCCACTGACAGAAGACACATGAGCCTTTAAAGAGTACAGAAACTTTGATTATAATGCAGGGAACACATTGAACACACAGAGAAAAGAATGCTGAGCAAAAATTGTTTCACATAATGGCAGCCTGCAGACCCCATTAACCAAGGCTACATACGTGACCACAGAACTCTAAAGCCTCCCTCAAGTTTTTGCCCCAGTACTTCATCTAAGTCTAGCACTGATGTCACTGTAGATTGGGCAAGACTGTGGGCAGTGCTGTGAAAAGTCTCCTACGGTGTTGAGAGGATCAGTAAAATATGGCCAAGGCACACAAATGAAATCAGCCCTCAATTCAACCCAAGGATGGAACACATTTCACTGATCCAGATTCTGCTGTCCATAACCTATTGTACCTCCTACAAATTAATTCACCTTGTCACCATGTCACTTCATACGCTACCATTTCCATGTAATCTTTAAAAGTGCCCTCTTTCACACTGCTCCTCTTTTACCCAGGAAGCCTCACTTCACTCAATTGAAACTCAATATTTTTTGAAGTTCTTCAAACACAGCTGGCAGCTAAGGCATCTGGCAATATAATGCATTCAAGTTGTTCTGTGAACACAGGCAGACAAAGACCCTTCTGCCATGAAAATGAGACCTCATTCTTGCCTCTTTCTGTTGTTTCTTCCTCCTTTATCTTTCTGTGTGATTCTCCTACTTCTATTGTGTCAGCCTCAGTGCTCTGTCAGACCCATAGCTGAGCCACTCCAAATCCTTAACCCTCCAGATTTGTTTCCTGTGTTAATTCAGAGCAAGCTTTTCAGGAAAGCAGACTATCTCCCTGGTTTAATCAGTTTCATGGGAACGTCCCCCCACCTACTGTGTCACACACACCGCTAAGTCATTTATTACATCTGAAGGTTAGTAGAGTGGCACTATTACAGGTCTCTGATGTACTATGTACATTCATGACCTTACACTACCTTACACTGAGAGTCCGAAAAGAGTGGGAGATAAGGATCTAGTAAAAACTCTGGTCTGTAAACCATCTTGATGAGATAAATAACTTGTAGCTGAACCATGAAAAAATAAAGAATTGGAGAAAAACATAAAAGCAATGTTTGATACAAGTATTTGAAGAATACAAAAATTCTGAAGACAGTGATTTCTAATATGGATAAATTTGGAAAGACTTGGATTAAACCATCTTAGAATTATTTTAAAAGCATCAGTGTAGATTTATCAATATCTGTTCATTGTCTTGTTGATTCTTACTTAAGCCCGATCTTACCTGTGTTTTCATGTCTCGTAATACGAGCATGATAAAAACTATACAAGAACATCCATAAAATATTTTCTTTCTGGTGATATCCTGCCACAGTATCAATCACAGCATTCAAGTTCATCAGAGACAGTCTGCCTTGGGAAACCAAATACACTTTCACGAATGTGGCCTTCTCTATATTGTTCTGCAAATGCAATTAAAAAACATGTTAAGTTGAAATGGGTGTTTCTTGTGGGAACGGTAAATGCGGCATTCTTTGAATATCTAGCAGGCTCATTTTTCCCGAAGATATATTATTAAACAGAAGACTGTACATATTATTCGAACTTTACAGTGGTCCAAATAATCCAGCAAAGTGTAACTCAGTACAGTTTGTTTTTATGCTGCTTTAAATCTTACATTCTCCTTTAAATTGAAATGAGTCAGCTTGACAGTTCTGGAGATTCAAGTCTTCTTGCAAGATAAATTCAATGCAGTGACAAAAAAGAGGTTTTCTTAAATGGCTTTCCAGTGTGGAAATAAGAACTAAAAAATACAAGGAAATGACAGTTCAGTTTCCCTAACTATTTGAATGTTTGATTCTCTAGTGAGTCTGTTAGCAAAAAGAACAGCACAGCTTTAAGTTGTGGATGTTTGTTTATAAAAGCCTGTTCTGAAACCATAAAGTGTTTCCACACAGGTCATTTCCTTAGCATTTCAGCTCTAAGAATTCCACTACTAATTGATTCCATATTAATCAGGAAACGTTCTAAGTGTGAATGCAAATATAGCAAGAGTCAAGAATCAAAGGATGTCCAGTCAATTACTTCACGTTTTTAAGAGAAGCACGGATCCACCAGTTCAAGGACAGCTAATCACCAGGATACAATTACACTCCTTTTCAAGTAGGTGGTTATGTTAACCAAAGAGGACCATGGTTTGCAGCTTGCATCATCAATCTGGGATTCAGAAGATCTAACATCATTCCTGTTTGGCTAACAGAAGTAACTTTACAGAATCACAGAATCAATTAAGTTGGAAAAGATCTCTGAAATCATTGAGTCCAACCTATGACCAAACACCAGCTTGTCAACTAGACCCTGGCACTAAGTGCCACATCCAGTCTTTCCTTAAACACCTCCAGGGATAGTGACTCCATCACCTCACTGGACAGCCCATTGCAATACCTATTCACCCTTTCTGTGAAGAAATTCTTCCTAATGTCCAACCTAAACCTCCACTGGCACAGCTTAAGACTGTGTCCTCTTGTTCTATTGCTGGTTGCCTGGGAGAAGAGGCCAACCCCCACCTGATCAACTTATTTAAAAATCTCCCAAGTTCAAAGCTCCCAGGTGAAAACAGCAGTATTTCAATTGAGAAAGTTTTGGATATGGGTTCTTTGCACTTTTGCTGCAGGCACTTTTGCCTGCAGATTAGATCCATAACACTCTTACTTGCATAGCAGATAAGACAATTAATGCTGTTAATGAGCTAAAAGAGTCTGGTGACAACAAAATGATAAAGTATGCTTGTTTTGCGTGATTTGGTGATAAAAGACCAGAGTCAAAACATAATTACCTTCGAGATCTGGACAATGCGATCAACCTCTGAATCAGCCATTTCTGAGATACATTTTGCTACATCAATATACATCTCCAGTTCATCTCTCTGCAAACAGAAAAGTAAATGCATATTTAAATGTCTATTTCCAGTATTCTAGTCTCTAGACTCATTTTACTTAATCTATTTTAGAAATTCTGTATTTGCTGGGGAATTCAGTGTACTTTATTATACAAGAATAATGGCAGTTGAATAATTTCAAAGAGCTTGTTTTATTTTTAATGAAAAAGTGCCCTTCCTTGAAGGTATTTTCTACCTTCTGCCTACCTGTAGCTAGATAGCTTCTTTAAATCACCGTGAAAAACTGAATGCTTGTGGAGAAAAAAAAATAAAGCCTTCTAATTGTTGTCTGCTTCTGTTTCAATAACATTTATTTCAGCATTAATAGTGTATTTTTCCATTACCAAATCACTTATGAGGGAGAAGCATACATTAAACTGGCTTCACAATGTCATATTCTAAAGTAACCAAAAGTAACTTCAGTTGAAATTATGCTACTATTTTAACTATTATCATTAAAAACTGTACAACTAATTCATTTTTCAAATCTGATGGGTCAGTGCAAAAAGACGGAACTTACCATCACTAAAAATATCTAGCTACAATGTTCATACACCTCATACTTATTCCTTACCTGAACCTCATTTGGAAGAAGCTCATATATTTTCTCCACAGCCTGGCACAGAAAGCTCCAGCAAAACTGGGCAGGGTTGGGAAGTTTCATTGCCTGGATAAGCCCATGTAGAACACACTGGCAAATTTCTGGGGGTTTTGTGCGGTTCTTCACTTCAAATTGTTGTATCAGAAGCACTTCTGTAAAAGACTGCAGTTTGTCTTCCGCAACGTGTTGCATCCACAGGGACAGGGACATGAAAAGGTACTTCTGAGTTTTCATCTGAAAAGGAAAAACTTTAACTCAGTTTCAGATTCTACCTCTTCATTGACTTTGAACTATTGTTATAAAGGATGAAATTATTTAAAAAGTGGCTCAAAAACCACTTAAAAAAGCACTCTTAAAATCACAATACCTCTCACTTTTTCCTCCCACTTTTGATGAGTTCAAACATGTCAACATTCTGTTTTCCTTAAAAATTGAGGAACTTACTTTCAATGAACCCTAAATACCACATCTCTGTATGGACAGAATGATTTTACTACATGGGGCCCACTGCATTCCTACACAAAGCATAGAGACACTCTAGACAGCCAAGGACAGAAGTATTGTAGTCACGGCACCATTAATGTTGCTAGCTAGTGAGGAAGAATGAATACCTACTGGTAAGAAATGCAGAGCTTACACACTGGCTAACCTGATTTTGTGACCTCAAATTCCCACTGCAGCTGGCAATGTGGTGCTCAGAAATAAAATCTTTTTTTTTTGATACCTTACCAATTATATATCTTAACATTTCCACCAACTGTTTGCATATTTAAGACTAATTAATCAAAAAATATAAGACAAAAACACCCCTTGAAGAACTGTAATAGGTCATAGAAATACACAATGAATTTTTTGAGAATTGTCACAAACCTGCTCCTGAACTTGTATAAACTGACAGAACTGTGCAGTCAAGCCTACTGTGGAATTAAGAGAGTTTTACACACTGTACCATGGAGTCCACACTGTACCTCCAGAAGAACAGGAGGATAAGCCCAAATAATGGAGGATAAGCCCAAATCTGATCATACTGTAGGTTAGTCTCTTGGGTATCTACTGTTGGGAGATCAGGATTGTGTGAACAATTTCTCCTGCATTTTTGTAGGCCTTGCTTGACATAACTTTGGAAGTTGCAAGCTGTGTGGTGTTTATACTTACAGACTGTGAAACTATGTGAGTTTATACTTGTTATCTATGTGTTTATAGTTGTAAGGTATGAGAAAATAGTAAGTTTATAGTAGAAAGTTGTGGGAAAGCTGGAGATAAAGAGACACCTGCAGAATCTTGGAAAGTCCCTAAAGGCGGATCGATAGGAGGGACTTTGGGTGGCACGTATGATGTCAGGTCGCATGGACAGAGCATCAGAACCAATGAACTGAAGGCATGAGAGGCGTGCACAGACTGAGCTATCCGATCACCTTGTTGTAAGCATGTACCCGGAAGAAACTAAACTGTATAAAAGTTAACTCATTTAAATAATAAATTGGACATCACTGATCATATCGATCATCTGCGTGTGTTCCAGAACTCCTGCTGTCAATAATCTACAGAATTAAGGCAACGCTTTCAAGACATAATGTATTTTACTAGATCAAGAGACAATGCTAGAAGTAGCAGGTAAGCTTCTGCACAGATTAAGTTGGACCTTTTTCTAATACAATCAGCTGGTATAATAAAAGATACTTTTTCTCCCTACATACTATCTCTTCTAATGTCTCCAGGTTGTCAGAGCTACAGCACAGAATGAGAGAGAGGAAAAAGGTCTTAAGCAGTAATGTAAACCCAGTGTACCAGATCTTAAGTCTGCCTTGAATTTCAAGGCCCCAGAATAACATTTCTCTCATTATAAACACTTGCTAAACAGTATTTCTGAAGAACTGTGAAACCAGTAATCCTTTTCTGGTGAGACATTCTTAATACCATGACTGAGGAATTTTATAGGAAAGAGGTGCTGAACTCCCACAAGTTTTCTGACATACATACACTGAGACTGTAGACAAGAGGAGGTGCCACCCACATGCCCAAAAGCATTGCTGCATTTTTAGATGACTGGGCCTGTGTCACTGCCAGTTGAAGGCAGAGATGTTTTACCTCATCACCTACAACAGAAGAAAACAAACGTAAGTTACAAAGAAATTATTTCCGCCTTAAATTTGTTCTCAAGTCATAAAATAAAGGAGGGCTATTGTTTTACTAGAGCACTACATTACAACTTATTTTTCTAGAAGTGCTACTTAAGGCTTTTAATGTTAACATGTTAGAAGAATCCTCTTCCCATTCATGCACTTCCAGCAAGAAATCTCAGCATTTGTCCAAGTTAATTTCAATTCACTCAAGAACAAAAATGTGGGAATGCTAAGAAAAGTGAAAAAAAAAACCCTCTTCACCAAATAAAGATAAGATTTAATCCACAGAAGGAAAGATGAGTCAATATCCCTTCCTCTCAAATGCAGGAGTAATTACCATTTGTTCACATGTTCCTACTCTTCCAAGTACCCCATGTCCATTTAATATGTCACAAACAGAGGTTAATCACCATTACCGCTGTGGGTGGTTGGTTGCAACATTTTCCAGGTTAGCACGTGGGAAGACCTTAATTTGCATAGAAGTTAGGATGGTTATGGAATCCTAATTTTTTTCTCTTTAAAGTCCTCTTAATGACCGGTACAGTCCTTTTCTTAATAGAGTGACTGGTCATAAAGATGATGAAGAGGTACTTTGAGCAATGGCATGGGTTCAATATAGTTCATGACTGCTACAGCAACATAAGGACAAACAATTTAAGTATTATACTGGCATTTGACCCATTAGACAGAAGATCCATTACTGTTAAACATCAGCTTAAATAGGTGCTTTGCAAATGTTCTTTAAGTAATGAAAGAGACAATCAACACAGTATGACTTTTATAAAGTTCACTAACATTAGTGCATAAACAAAGCAAAAATTTAAGAGTGCAGTGTCAGGCTCTTCTAAATAAAATATCTTATAAAAGAAACTAAATAATTTGCAGAGCTTGGAAAGGGTGAAATTTTAACAAGAACAGCTTATAAGATTATATATCTTATGACACATAAGATGCATGATTTGCCTAAGATTGTTCACTTCAGAGCACTACTGAATAAGAAAAACATAGTACTACAATCATGTAATATGGTTTCTGCTCAGCAACAGCTACAATAAACCCTGGAAGACGGGAAAGCAATCTGTTGTCTTCCATGTTTATATATGAACAAATCTTCACAGTAGAATCTGTGAAACACTTCAGGTTCACAAAACCAGTCATGAATTCTCAGACATGAGTAACATAGAGTATCTGACAGAATTGAGCATGTAGTCCAATTTTCACAAACATATTCATGATACAGCTGTTGCAGAGAAAAGTGTCTAAGAGTATCACATTTCTAGGTGGACTGTTAGGTCATAACACAATTGTTCTGCATTATACTTTCTAGTACAAAATGAATATGCTCATTAGCACATAGAAAGACCTATTTCTGAATGCATTTATAATCTAGAGAAGGATGTGCAACTTCTACAACACTACAGAGGGACACTGAAGAAAACTTATGCATAAAAATGTAGACTATGATGCTGTCTGAAGTCTAAAAAGAAAACAAATGTACCGTTTCCTATGGAAATTCCCTCATTTACAAAAGTAAGACTCCTAAGCGAAAAACAGGAATGAAAAAAAATCCCTCATACACTTAACAAGTTTCAGCTATTCATAAGTATTGCAGAGCTCAGTACAGGAAATTCTTTCAATTATTCTTAAAGCTGTCAGCCAGTGGAATTTAGTAGAGAGTATATTTCAAACTAGTGATAGCTAGATGAACTACCAAGTAGTTCAAATATGTGAAAAAGCTGCCTGCAGCCTCTGACATGGACACTGGACCAAGCATTTAGCAGATACTGAAAACAGGATACAATTTCATGTTGTTTCATGATGGATTCTTCTTACAGTAAATAATTCAAATGAAATATTCAGGCTATTTTCACCAGTGCTTTAGGGAATTTCTAATACTGCTCTAAACTTCTCAGTTCTGATCTTCTTTAGTTTTTTCTTGTGTTAAAACAGTGTCCACATGGTGATCACAAATACATGCTTGCAAACATTAAAAAGTTGGTCCTGAAAGCATAGTAAACACTTAATAACTGCGCTAACTTCAAGTCCCTAAGTGGACTCTAAAGTTTGTGAATGCTGCATTAGTAAAGAAGTGTTGTGACAAATACAAAAGACTTAATAGAAAACTATTAATCTTACCAAAGTTTAGCCTCATCAAAGGAGAAAGAACTGATGCCCAGTTTACAGGTGGATACTGATGGCTTTCTCCAATTAATGCAATGGGTGCCAATGCTGCTTTCACCAGCTCAGCTGGGACAGCTTCAGGACCTAGAACAGAACATTCAATCAGAGCCTGAATTTTATACACAGACATTTGGCTGAACAACTCAGCCAAAAACTGTGAACACTGCATCAAAGTTCAAGCTGTAACGAAGAACTGAAAAGCATTATGAAATCATTGTTACTTCCTTTTGCATCTGAGAATTAGCTATGTTTTGTTTATAATCAACTGCTGTATTTTTAAAATTAATCTGTCTAAAATGGCTTTTTGTTACTGGTAAACAGAAACTTTCTGGTTACTTGTTCTTGAGTCAATTTATGAGTTAATTACAGATATTCCTCATCTAGTAAGATAGTATTTTTGCATTTGCTATTGGGAGAACAGCAAAGTGTTCTGACACTGCTCTCCTTCCTCATCTTATTGGTGCAGGCCACGAAAATTGTCAGGTAAGTGCTAACCTTTGCTACATACTGTGTTACTTCCACACAGCAAGTTAATACAGTTCTCCTGGAGGCAAAGCATGGGCAATTTTTAACATCCATTTGAAGCAAAACTTGCTTCTTAGGACAGCAGTGAGTTCACTTAGCTCCACAAAGGAGTAATCCTCCCTGCTTTATCTCCCTTAAGACTTTACTCCAAGACATCTACCTTAATCAGCCTTCCTCATATAAGACCATACTTTCTTCAGGCTCCTTTGTGTTTATCACACATAGTAGTAACCTGTTAGAATACCACTGTTACAGAGAATCTTAATTTAGGATTACCAAAGTAAGGAGCAGCATAAAGTTGGTCTGATGATGGAGTATTCCCAAGGACACAAGCTAATGCTTAAAGTGATTTGACTTTCATTCCCACAGGGAAGATACATCATTTCACCCCTGGAAAAGAAGTCAAAACTTAAATGGAGAAAACTGAAGACCTAGCTACACAATTCCACCTTATCTTTTTGAGTGTTACTCATTTTTGTGTTAAAATATCCCGCATCAGTAACATCCAAATTAGTATTTAAAGAAGTTCTCTTAGCAAATAAAAGCAGGTCATTAGGGTCACCCTTACGAGTCATAACAAATTTCCCAAAGGAATACTATAGTTTTATCTTTTCTTACCTTTCTTTCCACTTTCAATGGCAAAGTCAATGGCTGCCCTGATAAAGCTGTTTACAGGTAAGTAGCTAAAATCTGGAGGAACTGTGAAGACAAAGGGACTGTTTATATTCTAAAACATCATCAGCAAAAAATTGTAACCTTCTGCTCCCATGTACTTTTAAAGACCACACTGAGCAATGTTTGAGCTAACTACTTCTGTAGGTGACTGTATTTGGAGCACAAGACTGATAGATGCATCTGCCTTTCCACTTCTAAGGCAAGAACATTTCTGGTGGTGAGAAGTGAGAAGTGCCAGGTCTGAAAAAAAAATTCTTTGACCAACTAAAAAGTCAGGGATAAGAACTTCCTTAAAAAAATATTGGGCAATGCAAGTTGAGCTTTGAAAGGGAGAGCTTCAAAATTTTAGTAAGTTTAATACAACAGTGACATTCCATACCTATCTAACCTCAGGCATGCGTGCTAAAATTCAGACAATCTTTTTTTCTGAGATGAGGAAGTTTATCTACATTTTCTGTTATGAGTTCCCAACTTAGTTCACACCAAAGTGAACAGGTTCAACTTCATTAGTTTCTGCCTACAGCTTCATCAATGACATAATCCTGCCTGTACTTTATCAATGGATATTGAAACAACACCAGAAGGTAATGATATATTGACTAGGGCACATAACACTAGTTTGTTTACTTCAGCTAACCAGAGAAGATATCTTCTAGAAGACAATTCTAAAAAGTCAGCTTGCTCTTGTTATGGACTAGTTTGGAAGTATGGACTTTTTCATACGGTGGGAAGTGTTAAAACAAAGAACAGATTAATCCATTTTCAAGGCACAGAGTGGATAATGTAGGTGTGGAACACATGCGCCATATTCTGTGTAAAACTTCTTTACAGTTTATCCTATTAAAAAATAATATAGAAGCAATATACAAGTTTGATGAGAAGAACTTAGAACCTTACTTTCAATCTGCAGGTAGAAGCAGATGCAGGAGATCCTACTGAACACACAGATTCCTCCTTCACACTTCAACCTTTAGAGCTGGCACACAGGACCATGAGATCTCCAGTTCAAAGGCTGTCATGTTACTAAATAAGGCTGCCATGTCAAGCCTGTAACGTGTCCCTTGATGTCTTTTTAGCGATGTGCTATTTCTGCATGTTCTTTAAGGAGCAATAATAAAACACCTTACCGGATGCCCTGTTCTGGGTAGAAGACAAACAAGACATGTGAAGGCATCCCAGAAGTCTTGCTGCATTTGTCTGAAGGCCAACGTGTCCTGAGAAACTGATTATCTGTTGAGACAAGAAGCCACAAGGTGAACCAATTTCCCTACACTGCCTCATTCAAGCTGAACACAGACATTATGTAGTTTCTTCAAACAAATTTGACTTGTTTGTTCAAGGTGTCACAGTACACTAGTGGATTATCCAAAGCAGGAAAGAGAGACCACCTTCTTACCTGTGTAAGGGCTCTGATGACTTCATTCAGCTTACTCTGAAACTGTGAGGACTGCACGCTCTCAGATTTCAGCTGCCAAAAAAAAAAAAAAAAAAATAACAAAACAGAGAACAGGTCCTGGAAAGAGAGACCACCTTCTTACCTGTGTAAGGGCTCTGATGACTTCATTCAGCTTACTCTGAAACTGTGAGGACTGCACGCTCTCAGATTTCAGCTGCCAAAAAAAAAAAAAAAAAGATGTAACAAAACAGAGAACAGGTCCTGAAAAGACAGATTACATTTGCACACATGCCTTTTTGTGGCGGAGTGGAAGAGAAAAGGAGAAAGCTCACATGGCTGGAAAGTTTTCCCCAGTGGCACTGCACATGGGCCATATGATGGGAACATGGAATGGACCCAGTTTTACCCACTGCAATTCAATA